CGGGGTCTGTCATCTGCCAGGTGGAAAAGGGAAAAGCCGTGGAGCTGAAGGAGCAGCTCTCGGAGCGGTTCGAAGCCCTGCGGAGAGAGCACGAGGAGACCCTGCAAGGTGCGCGCCGGCCCCTGGGCAGAGCCACGCTCCCACAGCCCCTCCAGCTCCTTTGGGGCCGTGGGACACGCACGGGGGGGCCACCACCGGCACCATGGCACCACAGGGCTCGGGCCGGGCTCGCTGTGCGTGTCCTCATGCCGGTGACACTCAGCACGTGTCCCCCTGCAGAGCTCCGGAGAGCGCACGAGCAGGAGAAGCTGCTGCTGGCAGAGACGCACCACAGGTCCCAGGAGGCCTTACAGGTACCCAGGGAGGAATCCCCACGGTTTTAGGATCACTGCAAGGTCCTCGGCGTGCCACAGAGACCTTGCCCAGCCCCACACAACCTTGGGGTTATCGGGGTGCCCCTGCTCGGGCAGGAAACCCGGACACCCCCTGTCCTGCTTCTTCCCCCGGCTGCCAGGAGACGGTGGAGGCGCTGAGGGCCCAGCTGAAATCCTTCCAGGAGAGGATGAAGCGGGTGGAGGAATCGCTGCTGAGCAGAGACTACAAGAAGCACATCGAGGTGTGAGGAACTGTGGGGCTGGTGGCTCTGCGGGCTGCCTGGGTCACAAATCTTAGTGTTTGGGAAGCGTCCTGGCCCATGGGCTCAGCCCTGAGCTTCTCCGATGGATCCCAGACAGGGGGTGCACAGGATGGAGCCAGGGGAGGGGGCATGGGACAGGCCAAAAGGATGAGTAAAACCCCATCCCTGGGAGGTGTGGGGGCTGTTTGGATGTGGTGGCCCCGTGCGCCCACCCTGCTGTGGCTGCTGACCCCCCCTTCATCCCCCCCAGGAGCATGGGAGCCCCAGCCCGTTCTGGGAGCAGGAGCTGGAGAGCCTGCACTTCGTCATCGAGATGAAGAACGAGCACATCCACGGCCTGGACAAGAAGCTGCTGAACCTGGAGACCGTGGTGGGTTCGGAGAGGGGTGCGGATGGGTTTTGCTCTCTCCGTCTCCCCTCCACACCTGAATATCATCCCGAAATTGCAGCTGAGGTGGAGCTGGATGGAGCCTGGTTCCTCCCTTGGAGTGTGGAGGGGACGTGGGCGCAGCAGGCAAAGCCAGCACGCTGCCATCGAGATGGTTCCCCAATGGATGGGGCATTCGGGGGGCTCGGAGGCAACAAGGAGCTGGCCGTGGGCACTTCCAGCCCCCTCCTCACCCCCGCACTCCCCTTGCAGGCGGAGAGGAACCTGCTGCTGGAGGAGAAGCTGAAAACCCTGCAGCAGGAGAACGAGGACCTGCAGGCGCGCACGCAGAACCACCTGGTGATGACGAGGTAGGTGCTCCCCAAGGGCTCACCCCGCGTGCCCAGCGGCTCCTCGGCCGAGCCCGGCACCCAGAGCCCGGGCAGAGCTGGTGGCAGCAGGGGCCGTGCGTGCGGCAGCGCCGCTGTTTGCCCGCAGGCAGCTCTCGGAGGAGCTGCTGGCCGCCCGCGGGGCGCTGGAGAAGGAGGCGCAGCTGCGGGAGCAGGCTCGCCGCGAGAAGGAGGAGCTGCTGTACCGAGTGCTCAACGGGGGGGACGGCTCCCCCTTCCCCATCGCCGCCGGAGACGTGCCCCTCATCGCCACGTAGCACCCAGGATGGGCTGGCCTGGGCTCTCCGCTGGGTTTGGAGCCCGGAGATGCTGTCACGAGCGCCTGCGCTCCCGGGGCTGGCCCTCGGGGTGGCCGTGTCCCCTGCGGTGTCCCCCTGCACGGGGCGATGGAGCGCTTCATGGGATGCCCCCACCTGCCTTTCCTCAGCCTGCGCCCTCCCTGTGCTGCGGGGGGGCCCTGCACCGTGCCGTGCCAGCAGCCTTTCCTCTGGTGTAAGGCCGTGGAGCTTTTTGGGGACAAAAGGGGCCGCCCAGGGCACACGGACAAACACTGGGCTGGATCTGACCCCTGCGCTTGGCTCCGAGCACACCCAGCATCGGTGCTGGAGGTGGGGCAGGCACAGGGGGTGCCGTGCCCAGGGCACCCAGAGCTGCCCCCATCCACGGGGCAGGGCTCCCACCTCGCCCTCCTCTCCCCACTGCCCCCTCCAGCTCCATCCCACAGCCCCCGGGGGTGGCTCCCACGGCTCGGGCACGTCCCCGCTCACCGCCACGCCAAAGCCAAGCCCTCCCCATCTTCCCCCATGGGGGAAAACCCCTCTGTGGGGTCACGGCACGCAGGAGGGACCCGGGCTGGATGCACGCGAGCACTTTCCCCTGGGAAGAGGGGCCCTTCCCGGGGGGCTGCGTAGCCGAGGTGCGTGTGTCTGTGCGTGTTTGTGTGTGTGTGTGTGTGCACGCACGGGGCCCACGTGCTACGGGCTGGAAGGATTACAAGTCTACGAGAAGCAGCAGCCTCAAGAATCCAGCGTTGGTGGTGGTTTTTTGGGGAGGTTTTGGTGTTTCGGGCAGCATCGCGCGGCAGGACCTCGTGTTCCATGGGTAGGGTGGGAGCTGCGGCCCCATAGGAAGCCCCCCCGTTGCTGGGCCCCCTTTTCGGGCTCCTTCCCCCGTTTCTCTGGGTTGGGTGCCCCCACCCCCAGCAGGCACCTCAGCATCTCAGCAGGCGTTTCCGTCCTTTGTGCCGATCTTATCAGGGGAAGGAGGCAGCCAGCAAGGCAGAACCAACCCCCGTGTGCCCGCCCTGCGTCCCCGCTGCTCCACTCAGCCCTGGGGGGTTTGGTTTTGGGTGCACCTGGGCAGGAGGTGCTGGGAGGGGGGCAGCAAACCCCCATAAAGGCTGCCCAAGGGTAAGGAGAGCTCTTTTCTCGGGACCTGCTCTGGTTTGGGCATAGATAGGAGCCCGTTATCCAGCCTGCGGGATGCAGGGGGAAGAAAACAAACCCCCACAGCCCCCATGGAAAACCCCCTGAGCTGTCAGACGCCTCCAGCCGTGCTTTATTAAATGGGGATGCAGCAGGGGTCTGCCTGGCCCGAAGCTGACAGGAACATTTTACCATGATAAAAAATAACCCCAAAAATATCAAATCACCAAAATTATTAGGATTTTCCTGGCAAGACAGGCTGCTTCCCCTGGCGGTGCTTTAGGCAAACCTCTCCAGCTGCACACCAGAGGGGAAGGAGCACCAGCCCCAGCACCATCCCTGCTGGCCCTCCTGCTTAAACCCCTTGTGAGCCTCCTAAACCCCTTTGGAGCCTCCTGGCCCTCCCCTGCCCTCTGCTGACCACCCCTGCAGCAGCACAAAGGGAAATTACGCAGAAATATCTTTCCCACAGCACCTTCCAGGTCATGCACACACGCACCCACCGCTAATAGCCTCAGGGCATCATTAGAAGGGGTTTAATTAATGTTCCCAGGCTGCTGGCGCAGGTGGAAGGAGGAGCTCCCTCCCTACAGCCTCCTTACCCTGCACCAGGAGCCCCCAGCCCAATTTGTGGAGCAGATTTGGGGGAAAAGCAAGCAAAAAGAAGCAGAAACACAGCCAGGGTGTAGCACAGCACAGCACGAGCTGGCAGCTCCTTGATAGGGACACCAGAGGTGACCCCAACCTTATCAGGTAGGGCACAGCCCCCCAAAAAAACAGGAGGAGGCCTGGGGCTGGGTTTAAATCTGTGGGTGGGGGCCACGGATTTAAAGTAAGTTATATCAGTGTCCTCGGGCCCCAGCACAGCCCCTAGACAGGGGTGTGCTAGTGGGGGATGTTGTGGGGTGGTATGGTGTGACCTGGCTGTGCCCTGGTGTTTGGGGAGAGGGGTACCGAGCCTGGGCTCAGAAAAGAGGTTAAAAGATGGTGTTTTGGGGGTGAAAAGAAAAAGCAATTCAGGTTTATTTTGGGTGTTGTCTGCAACACATCCCCAGCACACCCCGTGGGCAGCAGCACCAGGAGCAGAGCAGGGCTGTTGTCCTGCGTGGCAGGGCGCACAAAGCCGTGCCTGTCACCCACGCAGCCTCACATGAGCGAGGTCTCCGGCCACCAACGCCACCCCAGCCCGGGCTGGGTGCCTCCAGCAGGGTCCAGCACAGCCCTGCGGGGTGTCACACTGCACCGGGGGGGCCCTGCAGCCCAGGACCCCCCTCCCAAGCTGCGCTGAGCATTGCAGCTGCCCTGCAGCCCCCTGCGATGCTGCTGCAGGCAGCAGGAGCCAAAGGGGCTGGGCTGAGAGCCAGCAGCTGCTGCCCCATGCATTTTGGGGGGATCCCAGCTTTCCCCTGCTCCTGCTGGGGTCACAGCAGGGACATCAGAGCCTGGAGGTGCCCCGCCAGCTCCCCTGGTCCTGCTGCAGCCTCGGTGCTGGTTGGGGAAGGTGGGAGGGAGCCGGGGCTGCCAGGAGCAGCGCGGAGCTGTTTGCCCTGCGTCCGCACCCGCAGCTCTGCTGCAAGGTCTGATCTCTGTGGCACGGGAGGGAAATTTGGGGAAATTGGCACCCCCGGTGCTGGGGTGCACTGAGCACCTCTCCCCAGCTCCCTGCAGCATCCAGCTCCTGCTCCGTGGGTGCTCCTTGCTCAGCACCTGCCCCCTGAGAGGGTCCTGGAGGGGGGCAAAGCCTCCCTCAGCATTTTTAGGTGGCGGCAGGGACGGATGCTCCCCCAGGGAAAGGGGGTGAGTGCTGGAGGCGGCTGGCAGCGGGACCAGGTAACAGTGCCGCCATCCCCCAGCAATTGCCAGGAAAATGGGGGCGATGACATTTCCGCAGCTGAAATGCAATCCCGGTGTCACCCTGCGCCCTGCGTGTCACCGCGCTTGGCACGCAGCCCCCGCTGCGCACCGGCGGGGTCTCGTCCCCCCGTCCCCCCGCACCGTGGACACCCAAAATCAGGGGGACGGGGTTGGCGTGGAGGTTGGCTCGGCGAGGGTGGGAGCATGGCTCTGACCCCGGGGCCCGCGGCAGGCGGGGACTGGAGAGTTCTCGGTGACGTTGTGCCGAGGGGAGGAAGCAGCCGCACGGCAAGGGCGAGCGCACGGCCACGGGAGCGCCAGGAGCGTGCAGCGGGAGCCTGGTCCCGCTGCCTCACCCCGCAGGCCTTGGAAGCACTCGTGAGTGTGCAGCGGTGTGCAAGGGGCTGAGCTGTGCAAGGGGCTCAGCTGGGGGGGCAAAAGCGACCGCAGCGGGGGGAGAGGGGAGGCAGGAAGGGGGGCAGCCTTGGGTGAGGGCGCGCAAACGCCAGCGGAGGGTCCCTCCGAGGGGTGGCTGTGGGGTGGGTGGGCACCCAGCCCCCTTTTATAATATTTTTATTATTTAAAAAATGATTTATTTTTAATCAAAGCCTGGGGCTGTGCTGTGGAAAGAGGATTTGGGGCGCTGGCGCTGCTGCGGGTTCGGGGCCCATGGGTGTGTCCCGGCCGGCCGGGGATGCGGCTTTGTCTGCTCCCGGAGCTGCAGCACTCGCAGCAGTGCCCGTCACCGAGCTGGAGCTGCCAATCCCACGGCGAAGCAGCCCGATTTCTGTCCCCGGAGAAGTTCTGCACGGGGAAAGGCACCGTGCACCGCCACCAAGGCGCTGAAAGCGCAGGGGACTTTTTGGCGCTGGGGTGGGGCAGGGGATGTCAGGGAGCTGCCTTGCCTCGGGGGGAGGATGGGGGCAGCTGCTTTTGGCCCTACAGAGCCCCGTTTCTGCCCCATGGGCTGACTGAGGGGGGTGCTGGGCGTGCCACGGCCTCCATTGCGCTATCGGTGCGGTGGTGCCAAATTGGTGCCGGGCTCCCGGGATGGGATCCCCCAACCCCAAGCCCTGGTGGGGCCACTGGGGTGTGGGGTACGGCAGGATCCGGCCAGCTGCAGTGGGGTGCAAGCTGTTGGGAGCAGAAAACAGGGTCTGGGGGGAAAAAAAAAAGAGGTTTGGGGTAAAGGCTGCTCGCTCTGCAAAGGGCTAAGAGCAGCTGGGAAGCGGGGAGTGCCGCGGGTGGGGCGTGCATCCTTCAGGGCTTTTTGTTCAGGGGGACCCAGACGCAACCAGGGCCACTCCCTGGGTCCCTGTGGGTGCCAACCGCACGGGGAGCCCCCGCAGCAGCGTCAGGAGCAGGGGACAGGGGCGCTGCAGGGGCTGGGTGTGGCAGGGGATCCTCCCCGCTGCTGAGATGAGCCGGGAGGGCTCAGCCCCGCTGCTGCATGCAGCGTCAAGGGGAAAAAAAGGCAGGGGGGCTGCACTGCAGGGCTTTCTCCGTGATGCAGAGGGGTAAAGCTCATGAGAATCTGCATCATTTGCGGATTAGGATCTCTGGTTCTCGTGGCTGCAGCAGCACAGGGGCACGAAAGGGTGGGGCTGAGCCCCCTGGCACCCCCTCCCCAGCCGCCCGGCGCACTGCAGCCCTGCTGGGCACGCGGGGGGCTCGCCGAGCCCCAACCACCACGGAAGGACAGCCGAGATGTGCGGCTTCCCCAGCTGAAAAGGGAAGGGCAGCGGGGAGGTGGGGGCAGCTCTGGTCTTCTGCAAAACTTCCTGCGCTCAGCCAGACGCCCGCAGAAACGTGCGGGGCAGGGGGTGCCCCGCGGCACCAGCTCGCCCACCTCGGGTGCCCCCCGGTCCCGGCTCTCGCATGGGGTGAAGCTGGGGAAGCTCTGGTGCTTTCCCCTGCTTGCTCCCCAGCCGAAAATCCTCCCGGAGAGGCCTTGCTGCGCCTGGTGCTTCCTTGCAACGTGTCGAGGAGGGAGGCCGGGCGCTGGCTGGAGCTGGAAGGGGGACGGCGCTCGGGGCCGGAGGCGCTGAGCGGCTCGGATGACGTCCGGGGACTGGTTCCCAGCCACCCTCCATTTTCCAGCTGTTTCTCTCTTTCCGTCGGCTTTGTCGGAGCAAACCCAGCTGCCTGGGGACTTTCTCCCCGGGGGTGGGGACGCACGGAGGTGGCCGGCGGCTATAAACGGCACCGTTTGTAGAAAACAAGCTGCGGGTTACCCGAGAAACCGAGCTGCGTTTCCTGGGCTCGGCTCTGCTCGTTGGGCTGCCGGCAGCCTTCATTTGGTGTGTGGAAACCCAGGCAAAGCCAGCGGGTGCTACCCAGCCCCAGAGGGCTTTCCCCAGTGGTATCTAGAGCCAGGATGACCCCAGGATTTGGGGGGCTGCAGGGTGGGACCCCAGGAGCCAGGGTGCAGCGAGGTCAGCGCTGCGGCACGGTCCCTGCGGAGGATGCTCGGCCCATTTCCACTTATTCAGCGCTTTCTTCCCCTCCCGGTTTGTCATCCCCCAGCTGGCAGGAAGCTGTGCGGGGGCACATCTCAGCCTGTAGGGTCCCCAGCTCGCTGCCTGGTGCCAGAAGCAGCTCGGGTCTCAATGCAGCTCACATTTGGGGAGCCCCGTCCCCATCCCAGGGGTGGAGGTGCCCAGGACGGGAGCTGCGCCCAGCCTGGCCCCGCAGCAGGGTCGTTTTGCTGACATCTGCTTTTCTCCTCCCTCCTGCAGCTCCTCCGTGCCCTCGGCCCTGTGATCCCCGGCCCCACAAGCCATGGCACCCAAAGGAAAGGTACGGACGGGGGAGGCTGGTGGGGGCAGCAAAAAAATCCCTTTGGGGCCACGGCGGGATGGGAGCGAGAAACGGGGCTGTGGGACGGGGAGGAGAACGGACATCGTGCTGGGATTTGGGCTTCAGCTGGGGACAAACCCCGTTTGTGTCCCAGCCTGCTGCAAGCCCTCCAGCCTGGGGGGTTTCTCCCCCCTCCAGGTTTGGGGCTGAGCGAGGCAGCAGCTGCCCGAGCAGGTGTCCCCATCCCATTATGGGAGGGAAGCCGCGGCTGGGCAGCTGTCACCAGCTCCCCGTTCCCTTGAGAAAACCCACGGTTATCACCCCGGGAGCAATTAACCACGGCTCCTCCCCTGGCTGATGAGGGGACGGAGGCCTCTAGGTGGGGAAACCGAGGCACGGTGTGGGTGTGCATCACCCCCGGGGGGGTCCCGAGCCCTCAAAGCCATGCTGCAGGGTGGGAGCGGAGCCACGCCGGGAATTTTGCCTCCGCCTGCTCGGCCCCAGCTGGGATTATTTTTAGCTGCGAGGTCCCAGACAGGCTGGGATGAGTCAGAGGCTGGAGGAGGGGACGTGGGGGGCCCCGAGCTGCTGCAGCAGGGGGATGGAAGGGGTGGAAGGGACGGAGACGTGGGGAGGGCGCAACCTCGGGGTGCTGCTGCCCTGCTGCGTAATGCTTCTGCACCTCCCGGACCCGTTCCCATGGGTGCAGGGGGTGATGCTCAGCGCTCGGCTCCTGCCTCAGTTTCCCTCACCCCCGGCTGCTCACCGGGCAGAGCTGCAGCCCTGTTCCTCCAGGCAGACCCCAGCACCCCCCTTGGCCACCCTCGTCCCTTCCTTATTGCCTCCGGGCGCCTCCTTTGCATTGCAAATCCTTATCAATTGCCTTGCAAATCCTTATCACCGCCCGGCTCAGGCTGAGCAGGGGAGGTGTGGGAAGGGCTGACGGGAAGCGGGGCTAAATGCAGCCCTCCAGTAAACCTGCAACACAATCTGTCCCCGTGCCTGCACGCCTCCTCCCCAAGGACAGCTGGCCTGGCACCCGCCACGGGGCACAGCAGCGCTGGCAGCACCTCCCGGGAGGGCGAGGAGCCTGGAAAATAGAGCCAGGAAACACAGGCGGGCTGCTCCTGCTTGCCTCCAGGTCCTGCCTGCGATGTGCCGGGGCTCCCTCGGGTTCATTCCCGGAGGCACCCCCTGGGTTGGGGACGCCGGCCCCTGTCCTGTCCCCCTGTGGGAATTCCCACTGGGGGGTTTCTGCTCGGCTGTCCCCACACCGGGGTCCAGCAGGGCCATGTCTGGTTCCTTCTGAGCCGCTGCGGGTGGTTTCACATCTGCTTCCAGCCAGGGATGGTGCTGGTCTCATCCGGGGTAAATTCGGCGCTCAGACGGGCTGTTTGCAGCCCTGCTGCTTCTCAGGGCTTTCTGTTTAGCAGCTCGTGGGGATTTTGTGCCTGTACATTTGTCTCATTGCCCAGACCCCATGTGGAGCCTGGTCCTCATCGTCCTGAGGGTTTCCTTGCTCGCCGCGGGTGGCGGAGGAACGACTTCCCCTCCTTTGCTTTGAATCCAACGCCACTAATTCCTCGTGGCTGTGTTGCAGGGAGCTCCCAAAGCGCCCAGCCCCGTTCCCGTGGGCAGGGTGTGTTTGCCTTCAACGGGAGCGCAAAGGGCGAACGGAGCCGTGCCAGAGAGATAGCAGCGGGCAGGTCACGCTCTGCTGGCCTGGGGCACAGCCAGCAGGGAGCAGCCAAAGGGAATAACGGGAGCTGGTGCCCGAGGCTGAGCTCTGCCTCCTCCAACCCTTCTGCTCCGTCCCCCTGCATCTCCTCGCCTCCTCTCCCCAGGTCTACAGGGGCTCGGTGAAGGAGTTCCCGGGTTTCGATGCCAGCCAGGACGCAGAGGCGCTGTACAATGCCATGAAGGGTTTGGGTACGGATGGCTTAGCAGCGTGCCAGGCCCCCTGGCTCCCCCTCCTCTTCCTCCCTGTGCTGCCCCTTGGCTCTGCTTCTCCTCCTGCCCCAGCCGGGAGCGGTTTTGGGCACGGCAGGACCGTGATGCTGAGCCCAGAGGGGGGTGAGAGCCAGCCGTGAGGCCGAAGGCACCACCCAGCCGTCTGTCCCCGCAGGCAGTGACAAGGAGGCCATCCTCGACCTCATCACGTCCCGGAGCAACAAGCAGCGCGTGGAGATCTGCCAGGCCTACAAGTCCCTCTACGGGAAGGTAATGGCAGGGACCATCCCAAATCCATGCCCCAAAAGTGGGCTGCGGGGGCTGCCACCCACGAGCCGTGGCCACGCTGGGAGATGCTCCCCTGCTGCGGAGCTAAAGGGGTCCCAGCCCCTTCCTCCTCCTCCTCCTCCTCCTCTTCATCCTCCTCCTCCTCCTCCTCCAGGACCTCATCGCTGACCTCAAGTACGAGCTGACGGGCAAGTTCGAGCGGCTGATCGTCAGCCTGATGCGGCCCCCAGCCTACAGTGATGCCAAGGAGATTAAAGATGCCATCGGGGTAAGGGCAGGGCGGCCCCCCGGGACCCCTCTGGGGATCTCCTGTCCCATCCCGCAGCTCACCGGGCTGCGTCTCTGCCCACAGGGCCTCGGCACGGATGAGAAGTGCCTGATCGAGATCCTGGCCTCCCGCACCAACCAGGAGATCCACGACCTGGTGGCCGCCTACAAGGACGGTGAGGGCTGGGGAAGGGCAGGGGCTGCCCCGTGTCCCCTGGGGGGCAGTTAATGGGATCCGGCTCCCCGAGCCCTGATCTTTTTCCTCTTCCACCAGCCTACGAGAGAGACCTGGAGGCCGACATCGTTGGGGACACGTCGGGGCACTTCAAGAAGATGCTGGTGGTTCTGCTGCAGGTATGTCCCTCTGTCCGGTCCCTACTGGTGGTGGGGGCCCGAGCCCAGCAGGGCTGAGCCCGTGGCTGTCCCACAGGGTGCCAGGGAGGAGGACGACGTGGTGAGCGAGGACCTGGTGGAGCAGGATGCCAAGGTGAGGCTTTGTGGGTGCCATCCGGGCTGGGATGGGGCTGGATGGACCCAGAGCTTTGGTGGGCAGTGGGACAGAGCCCTGTGCGAGCAGAGCCCTGATTTGGGTCCTCTCCACCCCTCTCCATCCCTCTCCATCCCACCAGGACCTGCTGGAAGCCGGCGAGCTGAAGTGGGGCACGGACGAGGCGCAGTTCATCTATATCCTGGGCCGGCGGAGCAAGCAGCACCTCCGCATGGGTGAGCGCCTCCTCCTGCAGGGCTCGGGCTCCTTCCCCAAGACCTGGTCCCCTGGGCTCTGCCATCTGCTGGGGTGCCCTGCGTGCCCCACGAGGGCTCGTGGGGCTGGGCTGAGAGGTGGGGACACCCAAGCCACCGGGACACCGTGCCCATGTGCCCCAAGGGGATGCTGGCCCCGCTGCTGGCCGTTCCCAAAGGGCTCAGAGGCTTTGTCTGCTCCCCTCCCGCAGTCTTTAACGAGTACCTGAAGATTTCGGGGAAGCCCATCGAGAGGAGCATCAAGGGAGAGCTCTCTGGAGACTTCGAAAAGCTGATGCTGGCAGTGGGTACGTCGGCGCGGGGGGGCAGATGTGCTGTCGTTGGGCTGTGCTGGGCAGTGGGCAGGGGTGCTGGGGTCCCTCCCCTCACTTTGCCCGTTTCCCCTGCAGTGAAGTGCATCAGGAGCACGGCGGAGTACTTTGCCGAGAGGCTCTACAAGGCCATGAAGGTGGGTGCCTCGTCCCAGCCCCAGGAGAGCTCCCCTCGCCACGCTGTGCACGGGACCTGCGTGTCCTGGGGTCTCTGCTCTTCCTCATTCAGACCCGGCGCTGAGGGCAAATCCGATAGCACCCCAAATCCGAGCCCCCTCCCCAAGCCCCCTTCCAGGCAGGACTGAGCGGGTTTGCTGTTCTGGGGCTTGACGTGGGGGCTCCTCCTGTGCAGGGGCTGGGCACGAGGGACAACACGCTGATCCGCATCATGGTGTCCCGCAGCGAGATCGACATGCTGGACATCCGGGAGGTGTTCAGGACCAAGTACGAGAAGTCTCTCCACAACATGATCAAGGTGAGGCTCGGGGCTTCCCCGACATTGAGTGTGGGGACGGGCTGAGCCCCCTCCCCAGCCCCAGTGCTGGGGGTCCAGATGGGAGGAGGCATCTGGAGGAGCCCCTTTCTCCCCGTGCACTCCCCACGGCACCATCCTGTACCCGTGGCACCATCCCGTGCCCACGGCACGTCCCTGCCACGCACCCTTCTCACCCTTGCTCCTTTCCAGGAGGACACCTCCGGGGAGTACAAGAAGGCGCTGCTGAAGCTGTGCGGAGGGGACGATGAGTAAGACCTCCCGTCACCCCCCTGTGCACCCCTCCTTGTCCCCACGGCACAAACCTCCGGGCCAGATCCTGGCAGAGCTGGTGCCGTGGTCGGTCCCCCCGTGCCCAGCACCCAGCGGGTGCAAAACCCTTTTTGGCCAGGGTTTCTGGGGGATGGGGCGACCTCTCCGCAGGGCTCAGCTCACCGCCTGTCCCCCGTTGCCCTCCCCTCACAGTGCCGCGGGTGAGTTCTTCCCCGAGGCAGCGCAGGTGGCCTACCAGATGTGGGAGCACAGTGCGTTGGCCAAAGTCAAGGTCAGCACCCCCAGACCACCCCTGCGCCCCCCCTCCCTCTGCTCGCCGCTGCCAGCTTTTGGGACCCGGCCGCTCCTCTGCGCCGCGGGGCACGGCCACCCCGCTCCCTGCCTCTCGCTCTGCGCCTTCTCTCTCCGCACTCCTGGCTCTTCGGTTCCTTGGGCGTGAGGTCGGCGTGGCGCAAGCCTCGGAGGCTGCCCGGCCTCTGCACCACCGCTGCGGGCTCCACTAACTCCTCTTTCTGAAGCCTCTCTCTCGCTGTGGCAGCGGGTCCCGCATGCGCCCCGGGCACCCACCCCACGGCAGGGTAGCGCAGGAGGGCGCAGACACAAAGCTGGAAGCCTTTCCGCACCCTCTCCTGTCTCTCTGCTGCTGCACCCAGCTCTCCCCGAGGTGCCTCAGCACGGGCACGGCACCGAGCAGCACTGCGGGACTTTGGGGACCGCCTGCAGCCTCCTCGCCACCCTCTGCCCGCCTGGCTGCGGCGTGCCCTCGGATGGAGGGGCCGCCCGGGTGGCGGGGATGTCCTCCCCCAGCCCCAGGTGCTCGCACTAACCTCACCACCTGCTTGCGCATCGCCTCTCCGGGCTGGCACCGTCCCTGCATCCGTTCCCCCCCCCCCCCCTGCCGCCACTCCGCTGTCTCGGGGCAGCCCCCGACCCCTCTGTGCCCCGCAGCTCCAAGGCACCGTGCAGCCCGCCGCCAGCTTCAACGACGACGGCGACGCGCAGGTGCTGAGGAAGGCGATGAAGGGTCTGGGTAAGCAGCAGCCCCTTCCGCTGGCACCACGGGGAGATGCTCCCCGACAGACTTGGGGGGGGAGAAAATTCGTATAGGGTACTAGAGGGGATGAGGAGCTGTGGGTGGGTGGCCGTGTGCCCGGTTATGGCCTCGGGGCTGCAGCTCTCACTGCTGTCCTCGCAGGCACGGATGAAGGGGCCATCATCGACGTGGTCACGAAGAGGAGCAACGCCCAGAGGCAGCAGATCATTAAGGCTTACAAGGCTCACTACGGCAGGGTACTGCTGGCCCCGCTCCCACCCCACCGCCCGCGTCCTTCCCGCTCCAACCTCCTTCCCTCAGCTGAAAGAAATCCTGCTGGGGACGTGGTGGGTGGCCCTGCTGTGCCCCATAACGACTCCCCCGTGGCAGAAGGAGGTTTTCCGAGCTGCCTCCCACTTGGGGTGCACCAGCAGCCCCGGGGAACATCCCTTCCCTTTTGTTTTCCCCATCCTGGAGGCCTCCAGAGCCAGCATGTCCCCAAACCCCCCCTGAATGTGACCTTAAGCATCCCCAAGGTCTCCCCAGATCCTCCCACCTCCCTGCTTCTCTCCCTACTGTCACCTCGCTCCGTCCCTGCGAAGGATCGGGGCTGTGAAACACCCGAATGCCTTTGCAGGACCTGATGGCAGACCTGAAATCGGAGCTGTCGGGCAGCTTGGCCAAGCTGATCCTGGGGCTCATGCTGACGCCGGCGCAGTACGATGCCAAGCAGCTCAGGAAGGCTGTGGAGGTAACTGTGGGAGCGATGTGAGCGGCTCCAGCGTGCCCAGATCGAGTGGTTTTACACCACCCGTGGCAAAAGCGGGGTAGGGGCGATGTTGGCTGGATGCTGCAGGCTTTTGGCACGCTGTGGCACTGGGGTTGGAGCAGCTCATCCTTGGGGGGCATCAGTGGGGTAGATGCCACGGTGTCTCCACGCAGCTCTGGCACCCCACATCCCACCCCCAAATCCCACATCCCACCCCCATATCCCACCCTGCTCTCTTGCAGGGGGCTGGCACAGACTGAGAGCGTCCTCATCGAGATCATGGCCTACGAGGAACAACCAGGAGATCGCGGCTATCAACGAGGCGTACCAGCAGGGTATGGCACGGGGGGAGCACGGGGAGCACCGAGGGGCACGGGCACGGGCAGCATGGAGCCCTCAAATCCATCCCTGTGGTCTTTTGGGAGGTGGATCCGCAGCTGGGGTGCAGTTCTCAGCTTTCCCCCCCTGTCCGCAGCCTACCACAAGCGCCTGGAGGACGACCTGAGCTCCGACACCTCGGGCCATTTCAAGAGGATTCTTGTCTCGCTGGCTCTGGTACGGGGGGTTCTCCCGCTGGGGGTGGTCCCCTGCGTGCTGCGGGGGGAGGTTTGGGGGACGCGGTTTGGAGAAGGCAAAGCATGGGGGCACTTGGTGGGGGGCACCTCTCGGATGTCCTCTCCGTGATTTCTGTATCCAACCACAGGGCAACCGCGATGAGGGGCCGGAGAACCTCACCCAGGCGCACGAAGATGCCAAGGTAAGGAGCTTTTTTAATTATTAATTACTTATTATTTATTATTATATTTTGCGCCCCGAACCCCGAGCGTATTGCATCCCCAGGGCAGCACACGGTGCTAAAATCTGGCACTTCAGCTCCGGAGGCAGCCCTGGGCTGGCCTGCAGGAGGCACCCACGTCCGTGTGGTGCGTGGGGCAGCCCCGCAGCTCCGGCTGCTTTACGCTTCAACCCAAAAAAACCCTCACATCCTGGGCTGAGTGAGCCAGGACTGGAGGGCACTGAGGCACCAGGAGTGCTGGGCCCATTGCCTGGCTCAGCTTTGGTTTTGGCTGCCGGCAGAGGGAGCGGTGCTGGGCTCTGCAGTGCGCTGCAGAGAAAGAGAGAGCCAGGAACCACATGCACACGGGGACGAGCCAGGCGGGCAGCGAGCTGTCCCAGCCCCAACTGGTATTTTCCTGGCAAAGCCACGCTGGGCAGGCTGGTGGGAAGCAGCTGGGGGTTGTTTTCAGCCAACCCTGCCCCGGGCAGCGTTCCCGTACGGCCCCGTTGGCCGCGGTGCTGGGGTCACACAAGGATGCTCCCCGAGGAGCATCGGGCTGGTATCCAAGTCCCAAAGGTGGGGGGCTCGCTTTGCATGGCCAAACCCCCCTCCCGACAGCCAGCGGTGCTGGGACAGATCAGGCTGACCCCTGGGAGAGGTCATTTTAGGGGTTTTTGCTAGAATTCCCCCACTTTGTCAGGGGAGGATAAAGGTTGTGCAGCACCTTCTGACCCTGTTGTCTTCCTGTCTCTCTCTCTCTCTCCACCAGGTTGTTGCTGAGACCCTGGTGAGTGCCTTGTGCATGCCTGGGGGGGATGCTGCGGTCCCTGGGTGCGGGGCTGGGGCTGGGGAGCAGCCCTAACACCCGGCTCCTCCGGCCATGCGCAGGGCTGCAGGGTCCATAAGTGAGGATGGGGAAAAATAAAAAAGGATTTAAATTTTTTCTCCCATAAAACCTGGAGCACAACATCTCTTCTCCCAGCTTCACACCTTCACATCCATGCACAGAAAATGCCATTTAGCTCCCCAAAAAAGCGCTTTCCCTGCCTGTAAGAGGCCACCCACCCCATTCAGGACTTGCTGTCCCAGGAGGAGCCGCCTGACGTCCCTTCCCCTGTCCCCTACACCCATCCCCTTGTCCCCCTCCTCACTGTCGATTCCTCTCCCAGAAACTCGCCGACGTCTCCAGCAACGACTCCAGCGACTCCCTGGAGACCCGCTTCCTCAGCATCCTCTGCACCCGCAGCTACCCCCAGCTCCGCAGAGGTAGGGGCACCGCGCTCAGCACCGCCGGGTCCTGGGCTGGATGTCCCCATGGGTGACACCCTGTGTCCCCACGGATGATGGGGGCAAGGTGGCAGAAGGACAAGGCACAACCCTACATTTGGGGAGGCTGGTTGAGGTCACCCACACCCGCGTGGTCCAAAAACCTCCACGGCTGGGGCTTGGGTCCCCTGGGAGTGCTGGGGCTGGGACGAGCGGCTTGGCGGTGACCCCCCTCTCTTTTTTTCCCCCGTAGTGTTTCAGGAGTTCATCAAAATGACCAACCATGACGTGGAGCACGCCATCAAGAAGCGGATGTCAGGGGACGTGAGGGACGCCTTCGTGGCCATCGGTCAGTGACGGGCACGGGGCAGCAGCCCCCTCGCCTGCCCCTGCCCAGCCAACGAAGCAGCGCGTCCCTGCACGTCCCTGCTCCTGTGGGACCAGCAGGGCATGGGGTCGGGGCGTTTATTGGGGCCGTGCCCGTGCCCCTGTACTGAGCAGGGGCGCAGCTCCCGGCTGGGACGTGTCCCATGGGTGCCCCGAGCCCACCCCGTCCCCGCTCTGTGTTGCAGTGCGCAGCGTGAAGAACAAGCCGGCCTTCTTCGCCGACAAGCTCTACAAGTCCATGAAGGTGTGTGGGGGCTCTCACGCAGAGAGAGGGGGCTGTAGGGCCTCTGGGGCTCTGGGTTAACCCCCCAGCAGCAATGGGGCTTGGCCTCCCGCTGTTCCTGGGGAGCAGGGCTGAGCTCAGAGCGATTCCACATCATTTTTCTGGATAAATGTGGGACGGGGCAGCTCGTGCTGTGCCAGCAGCACGTCTCCAAGGGGATAGTCCCAACTTGGGCTGTGCCAGAGGTGCCACGAAGGTCCTGGATTGTGTTTTTTGGGGTTATTTGTTCGAGCTCTTCTCTGCAGGGTGCTGGCACGGATGAGAGGACCCTGACCCGCATCATGATCTCCCGGAGCGAGATCGACCTGCTCAACATCCGCGCCGAGTTCGTGGACCTGTTCGACAAATCCCTGCACCATATGATCGAGGTGAGGGCACAGGGACACCCCTCTCAGGCTCGGCACCATCTCCAGCCTGGCCCCCGAGCCCTGGGAAGGGGCTCCAGGACCAGAGGTGGTGGTGCTGAGCCTGCTCTGCCCCCTGCAGAAGGACACCTCCGGCGACTACCGCATGGCTCTGCTGGCCCTGTGCGGCGGTGAGGATTAGGGGGCGGCAGCCAGCCCCGACTTCTTCTGAGCCAGCAGCACGCACACAGCCACCGCCTGGGCCTCACTGCAGCTTCGGGGGCTTGGGGGGGTCGCTGGGGACCCCCACGAGCCCCCCTCACTTGGAGCGGCACCGCATCGCAAGCAGGGGGGCGGTGGGGAGGGGAGCTATGGGGAGGGGGGGGTCACCGTCTGTCTGTCTCGGTGCAGAGTAATTCGTACCCAAACGTGCCACTTAACCCAGGAATATTTACCCGCGGGGGAAAGACGGTTTTCAGTCTGGTGAATAAAACCTTACTGTCGCTGAGCAGGGGGTGAGAGCAGCCCCTATGCTTGGTTGGGATGGGGCTGGTGCGGGGTCCTGGCGGCTCCGTGCTCCTGCAGGCAGAGCTGGGGAGGGGGGGGACCAGGCTCCCCAAAACCCCCTGAGACCCCCTGAGCAGCACCAGGCCAGGCACAGGGGCTGGAAACGTGCCTAGGGCTGTCCCCGAGAGCTCCAGGCCGTGCCCCTGAAAGCCCCTGGCAGGTTTCGTGCTGCTCCCCTGCAGGTTGCGGTCAGGGGCTGGGCTCTCGTGCGGATGAGGCTTTTATAAACCAGAGATAGAAATCAGGCTCGATGGCACCCACTCGCCCTCGCAGCCGGTTTCCTGTGCTTTCAAGTTGCCACGGAGGCAGCCGGAGCACACACGCCACGGAGGCTACACCCCCAGCCAGTTTGTGTTTGCGCTTCCCCCGGCTCCCGGAGGAAAGAACTGGAATTTCCAAAAGCGGGAAATTCCAGCGCTTTCAATTGTTTCCAAGCCCGAACAAAAAGCCTCCAATACCCGCGTTTTCCTCAAAAAAAAACAGCCCGCTGAGGGAAGGTTCGCCTTCCAAAATAGCCAAGCGGCACGGGGAATAGGAACAGCGCTGCTCCGGCACCTCAAACCCCGCCGGGGTCAGGAGGCAGCAACGTGCACAAACCACAGCAGCCAAAAGGCCTCGGCGTGGGGCGGCTGCACTCAGCCTGCCCTTGGTGCCTTCCTGTAAAACCTCGTGCCACAAACACGCTTTTCTCGGGGGTGAATAACCCCAAAGAGGCTTTTTTTGCCCTCTGGTAATTTGGGCTCCTCGATCTTGGCTGTGGGTGGAGGTTACCCGCCCCTCAGCAGCTCGTGTTTTGGTGGGGAGCTGCCGCAAGGGCTGCGAGCAGAGCACGAGGATGCTTTGAAGGGAGGATGTGACCCTAATCTTCATCTGCCCGGCTCTTCCCGGGGCGCAGCACCGTAACGGTGCAATCCTGCTGGAGAGGGACCGGGGGGAGCAGAGCTGGTCCCATCCAGGCTGCGTACTGGGAGTTGTGCTGGCCCTGCGCAGCCCCTGCAGCCCCTTCCTGGCTGTGCCATAAATCCGTGATGGGTGATTCCATCGCTCACAGCCTCCTGGAGCCCTAAAACCCCCCTGAAGGCCATATCCCTGCCAGCCCCCCCTCCAGAAGCCCGGCTGACCCGGGCACCCCGCTCCCTCCACACCAGGAATTCCCCTGGCACCCGCTGCTGCAAGGACAGCGAGATAGCAGAGTCACGGCGTGTTTGGGGACAGGGAGGGAGAGCGAGATGGGATTTCCTCCTCCAAGGAACTCCCAGCCCTGGAAGAGCTCTCCTGGCAAGCCCTGCTGCCCAAACCCCTCCGTCTCGCTTCCTGCGCCCTCCAGCAGCTGCTGTTGCGGCTGGGGCAGAGAACAGCCAGCAAGGGTTTAATTGCTGCGAGTGCCCAGAAACAGCATTTGGGATGGATCGAGGGGAACCTGGAGCAAGGGAAACTGCGATGAGGGAGGGCAGAATGCTCAATGCTTGTGTGATGTGTATTAGCTGGCAAAATCTTTAATCAAGCACGAATTTCCCAATCTGGGACTGTTTTGCCCACGGCAAGCCTCCATGCAGGGCAGGTCACAGAGCCTTCAGCCGAGGCAGCTTCAGCCCTGCAGCACCCTGAAAAAAAGAAAAAGACCCGTGTTGCACTGCAGGAACAGCTCGCCACCCGAGGGATCCAGCCCGTGGTGAATGGCAAAACGGGAACAAGGGGACAAAATGTCAGGGCCAGGGGCCCGCAGCCCCGCACTGCCCAGCATTGCTGCGGGCAGGGGCTGGCTTCCAGGCACAGCCAAGGCAAGGTTTCACCGGTTGCGACATCCGAAAAACCCCACGAGCCCTCGTTGTGTGTGCAGAGGGTCAGATCCTCGCCTCTGAGTCAGCTCCGGATCCTCTTTGGTACCGTACCTGCGAGGGGCAGGCACACGGACACTGCAATCCCAGCGAGATGCTCCCGATTTTCACCCACCGTGCTCCCCGTGTCCTACAAGGGGGAAATCCCTCGAGTCCTGAGAGTTATTCCTCCAGCTTTTTTTCCTCCTGAGCTGGAGGAGGAGGAAGCGGCGCTGCCTGCACATCTGCGTGCTGCTCGGCGGTGGGTGCTCCCCACGGCGAGCTGAGGCTGGGAAGCGGCCGAGGGATTGCAAGGGGATGAGACACGGCCTGGGCAGAGAGGGAGAGGGGAAAATCCCCTCTGTTGAAGCACCAAGTTGGGATTCCAAATCATCAGAAGCTTAAAGCACGCCAAGCGATCTCGGAGCACTCCTGGGGCCTGGCTCCTGGAAGCTCTCGGGGTGTCCACAAGCTGCTGTGTCCAAAAAGAGGGTGAAACGAGGCAGGTGACAGCAGCCTCGGGACACCCCCACATCCACGGGAAGCCACGGGGCAGCCCCGATGAAGGCAGAGGGCTGCGGGAGGCCCGGAGGAGCAGGATCCCTCCCCGACATCTCCCTGTGCCAGCCCTCCACCAAGCTCTCTCCCACCCCGAGCCCTCCCCGCAGCCCAGCGCCCCAGCACCTCTCCCCCTCGCCCTCCCGGTCCCCCCAGGTTAATTGGAGTTGCTGATTTGCATAGGCAGCAGATCACAGCGTGCTGGAAATCCCCTGCTGCGGCCGGAGCTTCCTCCCCGGGCTCTTGCAGCGTCATCGTCGTCCTTCTGCTTTCCTTCCCCCGGCAGGGTACCGGGACGCAGCAGGTCAGTGCGGTGTCAGCAGCAGCCCCCAGCAAAACCCCACTGCTCCTGCCCACGGGCACCCTCGTGAGGACCTAAACCCATAAGGGTCCCAGGCAGATCTAACCCAGAAGGGGTCCCGGGGCCCCACAGAGATCCGGCAGCCCCCTGGCACAGCCACCCAGGATGCCCAAACCCATCGTCTCCATGGGGTGAATGCACTCGGCTCACCCGGCAGCATTTAGGGCAGGATTTCTTGGGTGCTGCGGGCTGCTGCTCGCTGAGGAGGGCGAACCCAAAGGGAGCATAACCCTAAAACAAGCAGAAAGCAGGAGGAGAGCTCCCACAGGCTGCCCGTGCTCTCACCCCGCCGCAGCACGGGCTGGCCCCGCAGGAACCAGCAGCAATGACGGTGCCCTCATGTGCACGAGGCTGAGGCTCCCCCCAAAAAAAACCCTGGTGTGTAAAAGCAGCAGCTGTGAGCTCATCCCCGGAGCTGCTCCTGCTCGCCCGTGAATCACGGCCGCCGTCAGGTGAGCCCCGTGAGCACCGAGGGACCGGAGGAATGAGGAAGAAGCGATGGGACGAGAAAGCTCTGCTGTCAGCCGACCCCACACAGGGGGAAATTTGTCCCAGCCAGCCTGGGGGTGAGCCAGGAACACAGAGAGCAGCCGGGGAAAGTGGAGAGCTGTTTGAGGGGGCAGAGCAGGGTCCCCCATCCTCCTGGCCCTATTGCAGGAGGAATGTGCCTGGCACGTCCCCGGTGGAGATGTCAGCTCCCCAGGGCTTTCAGGGAAAACTCGGGACCACGGGTGAGGAGCTCAGCAGCTGGGTTCAGCCTCTCTCAGATAAACATTTCAGCCTGGGGTGTTTATTCCAGCTCCAGCTTTAGTTGTGAGCACCTCGATGCTTGCAGGTCAGCCACACCAGCCTGCCTTCACCAGCAGGCACAGCTCCTCCCTGCTGCCCCACGGAGCATCCTCCTATTTCGGGTGGCCAAAAAGGGGACAGGCACACACGGGGGGACAACGACGGCGCCTCTTGCAAGCTGCAGCAGGTTCCCTGGGGAGAAGCACCCAGCGTTTGCAAACCTGCAGCCGCTCAGAGGCAACCCGAGTGATGCAAGCCGCTCCTCCAGCAGTCCCTCGGTGAATCACAGCCTCCCCGGCAGCCCCCTCCCTGCCTGCGCTGGCTGACTCAGCCCTCGCACCCCTCGGACAGGGAGGAATGGCACGGGAGAGCCCTTTAAGCGCTGCCTGGCCGCCTATCAAAACCACGCAGAGGCTGTCTGGGGCCTCCATCATGGGGAATTCCCCTTCTCCATGCCTAAAAGTAAACTCAGCTGGGCCGGGCTCCTGCAGTCGGGGATCGCAGCCGGAGGGTGCCTGCACCAAAGGGCTCCTGGGCTCCTGTCCCCCCTTCCCCGAGCCCCTCCGCGCCCGGCCGGGTGAGTAGCGAGCAGCTTTGTTCGGTGGGCAACGGGATGGGGAAGGGGGGGATTGCAAGAAGTTTTTCGGCCCCCAGCCCCAAATCAGCTCTGCAGATCAGCCCCGGGTCACCCCTCCTGTCCTTGTAGGATCAGGACTGGGTTCGGCTCTTTTTTTTTTTGCTGGAGGGAAATGGGATATCAATGGGATGCTTTCTGGGCGCGTGGGGTTGTGTTTAGCTCTGAAGGCGGGTTTTCTGAGGGTTTGCAGAACAAGATTGGGCCTCTGAGGTAAAATATGTGATTTGGGGAAGAATTGGGGAGATGTTGCCTGGCTCAGGAGCACAGCCCCGTCCCCATGGCACCAGCACCTCGGGGTGCCAGCACCTGCCCAGCTGCCTCAAACCCCAGCGGGGCTTCAAGGGCGACGTCCTGCTCAGATGGAAGAACACAAAGGGAAAGGAATTTGTTTTTTTAAAAAGCTTTATAACCCAGACAGCAGCCCAAGACCTCAAATTAGCGAGGAACAATGGAAGCAAGCAGAGAATAGGGCTGGGACAGCTGGAAATGGCACGAGCCCCACGAAGGCCACCTCAGAGAGCACAACTGTATACAGAACGGAAGCAATGTGAGGGTACAGGCTTAGTATGGGGCTTCTCCACTTTATTATTTTTATTTTTGAATACCTTTGTGGTACAATAGGGGCAGGTGAGGCAGGCAGGTAGTGTCAGAGCGAGCTCCAGAGCCCAGCAGGAGCCCGAAGGCGTTCCCCATGGCTCCTGCTCCTCTGGCCCATTCCTGCAGCCC